TCGCTCTCTCTCTCTCTCACTCACTCTCTTCCCCTCGCTCTCTCTCTCTCTCTCGATTTCTCTCTTTCTCGAGGCGGTAGCCCTGCCGGACGAGGCTGTGCGACCGATTGTCTATACAGATGTCTGATTGTCTGATGGTCTTCTAACCATAGCAAGACCGTTTCGTGGAGCTAAAGGGCCGGACACACTAGGCGATGGCATCGGGTGATGGCATCGAGCGATGTAATCGCCCGATTCTATCGCGCGAGTCGAGTGGACACACTAGGCGATTAAATCGGGCGATTTACACGCAGCGCCGCTGTGCTGAAAAAAAATACATTGTGATTTCGCGCATTGTGTCTGAGCGCATTGTGTTCACTCTGGTTCAGTGATCAGAAATTATGCATGTGCTTGTTGTTCATTGGCTGATGAATTGTACAATTGGGCGATGTTATCGCCGGCTGCGGACACACTAGGCGATGGTTCACGGCGATTTCATCGCCCGATACCTTCGCCTAGTGTGTCCGGCCCTTAACAAGGCGGTAACGTTTTTATATAACTTCACATAAATGTTTATACTACATGTTATTTCGGGTGGCACTCCGGCAGCCCATGTTTATACTATGTTAACTCGGGTTTCCCAGCAGCGGCCAGCGATGATAGAAAATTAAGAAAAATTTCTCTAAAAAGCTGCTTGTCCGGCGGACAAGCTACCGGACAGATCTACTTGTCCTCTGTAGAAATGGACAAGTACGGACAAACGGATAGCCCTTATTTCGAACACTGGGATGGTATCAGGAACCTTCTTGAAGAAATGTTCGTTGGGATCGTTATGAAAGTTGCCACGAGATGGCGCGTACGTTCGAGTGTCTTAAGATTAAAGATGGAAGCTCCCATCGTACGTAGTAAGCACTAATCCATTTACCTACGCAAGCCTACAGGCTTAAATAGAGAGCTGCCACCTGTAACTAATTAACGCAGGCAAAAACTACACCGTACTATCACCACCACATGCACTGGCAGTGGCATAAGTAACACACTGACAGTACAGAATGCCATAGAAATTATACGATTTAAGGAGTATAAACTTTCTTCAACCAAATTTAGCTTTTGAAATTTCACTGTGAAATTGTAGCCTCATACATCCAGGCATGTATAGATTCTACTAGCAAACCTGGCAGTCAAATTCTTTCTAACAGTAGAAAAATCCTCGTTTAACCCTCCTCTTGAGGGTCAAAAGGTTATCCAACACTTACTCTTCGCATGTCAGCAGAAAGTACATTTCATGGTCCTTTCAATAAAGCCATAAAAATGCTAGGTCACCGCTGAAACAAAAAAGTTTTTCAATCGCACCGTCAGACCATGTCCTCAGAAAATGTCTAAAATCTGCCCTGTGCACCATTGACCTTTGACCTGTGACCTCCAATTTCGGCACAGTGATGGCTTTTCTTACCATGATGCTATACACCGACTATCATGAGCCTAGGTCAAGCCGTTTAGATTTGTGCCGCAATTCTGCATTTCCTCCCTATACCTTAAGTTAGGGAGGGAATGTTCCCCCTTCTTTTACACCTCTTGACCTTTGACCTTTGACCCCCAGCTTCGACATCCCAACTCGTTTTCGGATTACCCCCCTACATCCCGAATATCATGACCGTACGTCGAGCCATTTAGATTTGTGACCAACTGTTGACGGACCAACGGACGGACGCACGGACGCACGCTCATGCGATTCTACAAGCTGCATCTGACTATGTCAGATGAGCTAAAAATTAATCACAATTTGTGACGGTAGATGGCGCTATACCCGCTTTGATGTTTCTTAGCGATGGCATCCGAAATAAATAGGTTATGCTGCGTTCTGACATGTTTTGTAAAACTTTACTCTAATATAGACGTTTTATCGGCAGGGTGGAGAGGAAATACCAATTTTGCATTAAAGATATTGTCAATGAAATCTTGTAAAACGAACCAGACGAGTGTGACACCGCACTGTTATCTGCGTGTCTATATAATATGCTATATAATTGCCAAAACCTACCTAATTTGCATTAAAAAAAATTTAAATATCAAAACCCCTAGCCCTTATTCATTCACATACCAAAAATGAGCAAAATCCGTTGAACCTGAACTGACTAATTCCATTTCCATTTTTGCCAAAAAATTGCTGTGGCTCGAAAGTACGTCGACTGGCGTGTTCCAAAATAGGACGTTCAAACCTCTCCCATAGCAGTAACAACTATACCCAATTTCAAACATGTGGGTCAAATGGTTCCTGAGTTATCATTGACCGTAGCCAAATGTTGACGGAAGGACGACGTACGACGGACGACGACCCATGGCAATAGCTCAGCTTGACGATGTCAAGGTGAGCTAAAAATATAGTTAAACTTATTAATATAGTACATTGCTGCATTTTCCCAGTACAGGTGGTTATTAGGCATAGTAATTAGTAGTCGTAAGGGGTTAACCAATTTATTGGATGCCATTATGCAAGTACAGTTCGTATTAGATTTTAACTGAGTTAACACAATTAGAAAACCGACGTACGCTTAGTTCCATTTCCTCGAAAAATTTACTCCAGCTGTTCTTGCGTACTTTCAATTCATATTCAATATTCATATTCTCAAAAACCCATAGCAAAACATGGCAGCTAGTCTAGTTGAGTCCATGTAACGTGTATCGGGTCGAAGTTCCACAGGTCAGGGTGCCCAACATGCGGTGTCTCTCCTGGAAAGCTGGCTGTGCTCCACTGGAAGGGTGGAAGAGGGTCGTGCGTTGGCCCCGCGATGGCGATGAACTCAAACCGTTTGGCCATGTCAAAGTTCGTAAGCTGAAAGGGCCAGAGTAAAAAACTAGTGACCAAAAAAAACACCCAGCCAATACGGAGTTTGAGCACGATGACGAATTTCTTCGTATCCTGCACCTAGAAAAATGAATGATCACGAGATTCAAATTAACCACGATGATTCATGCTTAAAAGAGCTGCGTGGACCACATACCACTAACATAGAAGGTGGCTTGTCCCAACACCACTTGTAAAACCTATCAAGAAAGAGTGAATTTAATTAGTACTGACACACTGACACTGAGAATACGTTCTGCACAAACCTTCATGTCGATGGCTCCGTGAGACCGGTGGCCTAGCGAGGCAAATGGGTATGTACCATTCGCTGGATTCAGGTCACAGCGAGCCGCAATGGCATTCTCAGCACTGTATGGTGGAGTGCAGTTGCACCTTGACAATGGGTCGTTCTTGAAGTCATTATATCTGAAACGAGTATGTCAGCGGTTCCATCGGCAGTAAAAACTTGGTGAGCACTTCATTTTATTAAATTACTTCACACAGTCTATATTTCAGCAAGCACATGGTCATGTGAATCTGTACCTAGCAGCTTTTCTTCAAACTCATCTATAATGAAATGTGCAATTAAAATACAATTTTTATTCAGTAATAAGAAATGTGAATATATAAATTACCTCATGAGCTTAATCATGGAAGATGTGTCCACTACTTTCGCATGATCCCGCTTAAATATGAGAGCCCTCGGAGTGCGATCGTATGTAAACCAGTCACCATACTTCTCTACCATCTCTGGTAACCCACTTGCTTTGAATATCTGTGGGAAGTACCTGTAAAATCCAATTAGACTTAAGTTGGTGCCATTTCATGTTTATTAAAGAATGCAGTAGCAACAAGTTTTCAGTTTTTTGTCATTAAACTATTAAGAGATACCATTAACACTTGATAAACACACAGAATATTGACGTTGTGCTATGTGTAACGTGTAAAGGCTATATTACTACTTACGGAGAGTTGTAGCTAGGCCAGTACGTCTGCTTAGCTAGAATCGAAGTCATGTCTTTAGACACAATCATTCCTCTGTAATAAATGAAGATGTATATTACATTCAGAATGAGTGAAGGCATACTGCTACATTGATGAATATTGGACTGGCAATTCGTACGTTGTCTAACAATCTACAAGAATACCACATGACTATTCATCACTGCAATTCAGTAACAACAATGACTCCTAGCTGATATCAATATTAGTTGACCGCTCCTTTCACCAGAGGCAGCTTAATTGAACCGCATAATAAGTAGGGTATAGGAAGTGTGCAATCTGTTTATTCGTTAGGCTGTGTCTAGGTCTCAGACCATGAGCTAGTTGTTTCAAATATGTCAAAAAAACTTACGGAAGCTGTTCCAGCACGTAAAGCAGTCCTTTCTCTGGTAGAGGCCTTCCTGGTGTGAACAAATTGAAGTCTACTATCATCCATTGGTTGTTATAGCTGCAACATGACATTAAACATTCATTAACACCAGCAGGGGCGGCGCCACGGTTTTCAAAGTGGGGGGCCCAATTGAGAGAATGAAGCGACCATGCCGGGGGGCTGAGTTATTCGGGCGCTTCGCGCCCGAGCGAGGGAGCCAGGCGACCGAGCGGGGGTGGGTGTGGGAGGCAGGGAGCTTTTCCAATTTTGCACTGAAATGGAGCGATCTGGTGCACATCGAAGGTGAAAATTTCAAATTTTTAAATGGAAGAAAAACGGAAATAACACCTTTTCAGTACATGTTTATGTACATGTCAACTATAGTGAAGTATATATAATTTGCATCAATATGAATACATGTAATAGGAATAAAGAATATTAAATAGTGAATCTTTTTCAGGGCGTACAGAAATTTCCATTTTCTTCAACCTGGTAATAGTCAAAAAATAACATTGCTGAATGATATTTAAACACTTATAACATCACTTGACTAGCTTTTATCTTTAGTTTATCTTCATGTTGCTGACAACAGTTTTGCCTTTAAAAACCCAAGCTGCTAGGATATTACATAAAGAATACATCGAAAGAAAATGCACTACAAGGCATGTAATACTAGGACATAACGGATGTTCATATTACATTAA